ACTGGAGCTGCCGCTGTGAAGGGGTTTCAATCCCATCAGTGAAAGGCTCCAGTGGTGGGAGTGTGCCAGAGGGCTTCCTGAATGGTCAGAAAAGGGGGTTTCCTTAACACTAGGGGTTTGGGTTTTTTTTTTTCATTTAGGGGAAACGCATCAAATCCATAGAAGGAGGAATTAATTACTGTGGGATGAGCTCAAGAGGAATTTGGGGGACACTATCTGGAGAAGCCAGCAGTTAACCTCACTAACCTTTGACAGTCCTAGACCTAATGACATTACTCAGTCTACTTCATCTTTTTGTGGTTAGGGTGCAGGACTCTCACCGCTGCGACCCGGGTTCGAGGGGCCCCTGGTGGTCTAGTGGTTAGGGTGCAGGACTCTCACCGCTGCGACCCGGGTTCGATTCCCAGCCCCCCGGGCAGATGGAGCTCGTCAGCCCTGTAAGGCAATCCATCTAAGAGAAGNTGTCCAAGCTTGCTCGGCCCCGGCAGATGAACCTCAGGATTAAAGGGTGGGCTCAGTTCAGCGCACGCTGTGTCTCACCTAAAAAATCCACTGTGCAGGCTCGAAGGGTTAACGACCTTTCCCAAATCTTCGCTCGCGAAGACTGGCCATTATCATCTTTTTGTATTGATAAATTTGTATTTCACAAGAGAATTCATACCAACACTGGCAAAATTCAACATTAAGAACAAACAACCTAAGAATTCTTTCTCACAGTTTCTTCCTTTCCCAGGGAATTGCAGATAGCTGCTGACGCAAATATTGCATCAGCACATACTGAAGTCTGAGAAACAGAAAATATTCTCCTTTAACATGCAAGGGATGTGATCAGTACAATAAAGAACACAGTCTTTTTCACACTTGTCATGTTCCCAGGATGTTATCACAACTTACTGAAACTCCCAGAAAAGTAAAATAAAACCTGAGGTTCCTTAATCTTTGAGGGGCATTGAAATTCAAGAGGAATAATAAATACAGAAGAGCTGTTCCTAGAGAAGCCTAGGGATTTATCTACACAACTTCCATTAATATATATTTGATGGAAGTCGAGCAAGTAAATCCCTGTGCACTATGGTGAACATTTACAACAGGGTACTGAAACAAATATTTATGTTTGAATAAGTTCTTCCTCCTCCAGATGCTAAATACTATGTGCACTTTCCCATGCCTTTCCAAGGCCAGTAGTGTCCCATTGTTTTCATCTCAAAGGGTCCCAATAAAACTAGGAGAGTCACTTCACTGATGCAATGCTGCCCAGTCTGAAGTGGTGAGCAACAACTTCTTCCTGTGTCTGACAGAGAAATTTTAATCAAGATGAGTGGGGCAATTCAGACTTTTAATCGTCATCATGCTGTGATCTTTGTAGAATTAATAGATAACTAAATTAGACAGATATGAAACTTCAAACAAATGAAAAGTGCTCAGCTTAGTTTTTCAAGGAATTGCCTTGAATTCTACCTTAGCACATTCAGGCAGTATGAACTACTGTGACTATTGAAGTTGAGGTAATTATGCTGTATTAGTTTCAACACAGCAGGAAGAAGGTGTTAGATGACATTGCTGCACTTAAACCTCAGGTACCAGTGTATAAAGAGGGAAAGAATCAAAAGCCACAATCAGATACCCACACAGACCTCCCCAAAGTTTCAGAGCACTCTCATACAACATCATCCATCTCTGATATTACACACAGAACATAAAGTTTGTCTAGTCAGAATGACAGTCTCTATGGCTTCAAGAAAATAAGCTTTTGAATTATCTGGGAAAGCCTCTGTACGGTGGCATTAAACCTAAATTTATGAATATGCCACTTAATATCTGAATGTAGCAAGCTCATTTTTAAAAACAGTGAAGTGGAGAAGATAATTTCTTTGCATAATTAAACAGCCAGCAATGTCATTAAGTGAACTTACTTCCTTTGCTGCTTTGTGATAAGTTGTCCATCTTCCCTCCACTTTAGTGCTTGGGTTCCAAATACAAGCTTCTAAGGTTCAAAAATAAATTAATAAAGTAAATTTTCCAGGACCATATGCATGCATTTTTTCAAACATACAAATGCCTGCAGTTATTTTCTTCATATCAGAATGTGCTGCAGTTTATTAATTCAGCTTCTGTTAGAAGACAGTATCCCATGTTTCAGAAGGCAAAAGGCATCCCAGATTTGGCAGATGGTTTTTAATATACCTCCAACCTCTGGTGTCCCCTAATCTTGAATAGTGTTTGGTTGGCTGAAATGCAGGAGGGAAAAACAAAGCTAAATGTGTTCCAAAATGTTAGCTTTTACAATTGTATATTACTGTATTTTATTATCTCTATATAGTTTCGATCCCTATTGTGACCTATCCACCTATTTCTGGCCTCTATGCCATGGTGAAGCTGTGAGTTCCAGCATAAATTACAGGCTGCATGAAGAGATATGTTCTTTATGCAGTTTTGAATTTATTATCTCATTGTGTCATTGAATGTGTCCTTGGTCTAGGGTTGTCAGTAAAGGAAAAAGGAAACTCCCAATCTTTGTCCTTTGCACTGTAATTGCATAAAGAAGCATAAGACGGTGAGCCAGTATGAAAAAAGGACTTTCAAAAATATACTGTGGTTTATGTGGAAACAGTAATATGAAAGGGGCAGAGATTTGGTGGTCTGAATTGTGAATGACTTCCTCATCCCAGAAAACTACCCTTGCTGATATCATAACGAATACAGTAACAACCTCTTGTCCAAGAAATTTAGCAATGTCTGAAAGGCTCAAACCAGGTCTTTTCAAACAGATGAACAAAATTCCACTTTAATTTCCACTGTGATTCATCCAGAACGTCTGTAGTGCCAGAGTTTTATTCAAAGTTAAAAGAAATGTGCAATTTTTAACAAAGCTTTCAGAAGAGTGTCTACCAAAGAAATAACACAAAAAATGTCATCATTCTTCAGATGATGAATAAGGAAAGCTAAAGGAAACAGACACAGAGACTTCAGTTATTGATCAGGGTTATAATACCATCTTCCCAACCTGAGATACTGGCAAGAAATTTTGTAATAGAGAAAACACAGCAAGACCAAAGAGAAAAGGTATTTGCTTCATCTTGGGAAAAAAAAAAAAAAAAAGGAAGTAAACTACATATGTAGAAATTGACAAAAAGAGAAACAGAAACAAAAAAAAGAAACACCTTCAGTGGAAGGCTTTGGAAAACTCTATTTTAAACTTCATAAATTAAACAAGAAGTGCTGAATAAGTTGTTGCCATAGGCCACAACTGGTAGAACCAGATTCTGACAAGGAAAGGTAAATTTTCACTCTAAAACTGAACCTTCTTGGGTACAAATGAATAAAGAACAAATTTTAGCTCTCATTTGGAAAGACCAGAAGGCAAAATGTTCCACTCTCACGGCTGCAGAGCAAAGCTGAATACTCTGATGTGAATAAACTACAGAGGTTTGAAAAAATGTGGTGAAGAAAGTATAATAGGTTCTCCTATTTTAAAGTTTCCTCCATTTTCAAAAACATGGTTTGTGGCATCTCCCATGTTTTTCTGGAGTTTCAGAATGTGAGGATCAGTGATGTCACCTTTCTGTGGATTCCCAAACCTCACGGATGAAGACTGGGGATGTGAGCCTTTGGTGGCAAGAAACAGCCCAGGGCAGACACCAAGCTTATTTTATATGACCTAGCAAGAAACTGGGAAAAATTGGTAGAAGCAACCTGTAGTCTGCCAGCATGCAAAGGAATGTCAGCAAAGTAAATTAAATCATGTGACATCTTCATACAAATTCAGCTAACTTGCAGTTAGGATTTGAACCCGTTTGCTTAATCCTGAGCCAAGGAGTTTGTATCCCAGACACCTCAGTCCAGATGCACCCTAAAACTGCAAAAAAAAAGAAACTCCAACCTCAGACTTTTGCTTTTCCTTTCCAAACAAAGTTCTTGAGGCCATCCTTCTTATCTGCCATTTATAGAAAAGTAAAATAAATATGAATTATCTACATTTTCGTTGCTACTTTCAAACAATTATGTAAAAATAGCACCATTCTGACACCTCCAGAGATACATTTAAGGTTGCTTCTATAATCTGTAGAGATGAAAACAAGAATTTGATGCTGTTCTTTATTTTCAGCCCGTAAGACCCCATTGTAGCTCCAAGAGACAGAAAAAAAAGAGTGTTCCTGTTAATTCTTGTCCATTGTCCACTGATTTGCTCACTAATGTTCTGACAGATCCAGCTGAGCTTATCTGAACAAGGAAAAACAGCTGGACAGCTGTCACTGAACTCATAATTTGTCATTCAGAGGTCAGAATTGAGTGTAATTCTGGCACGGCACTTTGAGTTTTTCGTGAATTAATGTTTAAAGCCCCAAATGAAGAAAATAAGTTCAGGTGGGTAATTGATCCTGTACTGCTGCATTTGTGAACTAAGTTGATTTTGGGAGTCACTGATTTCCCAGGACAATCCTATAAAGGAAGGTTTTCTTTCAAATCATCATAGTAATATCTGCTGTATTTGGATATTTGATATTTCAGTCAAGAATCTTTCTTTGATTACTAGGCACTGGCATTCATTCTATTTGGCCCTAAAAAAAAAAAATAATTTTCCTTGATATGAAGAACCTCTTGAAAATAGCCTGTGACCTCAGTTTTTATGTAGCAGTTCCACTGACACTAATTAGAAATTATAGTCTGTGTCCCAGAAGATTCTAATTAGCCCAGTGAGGACTTTACTTTTGCTGAGTTCACATGAAAAGTTTCCAGAACAGAGCCCAAAACCCCAAAATGTCCTATCAAAGACCTTTACAGAGAGGGTAATCAGACATTGGAATGGGCTGCCCTGGGAAGTGGTGGATTCTCCATCCCTGGAGGTTTTTAAGATGAGACTGGATGTGGCACTTAGTGCCATGGCCTAGTAACCACGGCAGTGTGGTTGGACTTGGTGATTTCAGAGGTCCCTTCCAACCTGGGTCATTTTATGATTCTACAGTTCTATGATATTAGAGGTCACAATCAATTGGAAAACAGAGTTCAGGTGTTCTAACTCTTCTATTCCTTTTGCTAAACCTTGCAATGCATCTAGACCATCCCCATTTCACATCCTACTCTTGCATTAAGGTCTGTGCAGCTTTAGTGCGGCTTTGGCAGAGTATCACAATAATGGACAACTTGAGATCTCTTTCATCTGGGTGATAAGGGACCAAGGGGAAGAGGCTTTGTGAGACAGGATCTGTGAGAAACAGCATCTACTTCTAGAATATGATTTACAAAAGCTCTTAATCTTGGTCTAACTGCTAAAGCAGTGGTAACCTCTTTAACATGTGCAGTCAGGTCAGTGCTAAGACTTCCTACCTGTCTTTCAGGAAAGATGCCCCTGTTTAAGTGGGTCACTTCATTATCCCTGGTTGATGGCTTGAAAGCCTCTGCAACCCTATTCTGTGTTTGCATTGAGCTGTACCTTTAAATTGAGGGGGAAAAAAATCTCTTTTTCATAAGAAAGCAATAATCTCTCCAGCATTAGGAAGTATAAAGGAATAATTGTATAAATTGCAGCTGTCCAAAGTTGGCATTAACTTAAGTACTAGAGCTGATTGTTGGCATCTGCTCTTACCCACAAAAAGAGGAGCAGTTTTCGAGTCTTTTGAAGTTTGTGTATAAATCTGTCTTTCCACTCTTTAAAAGCAAACAGCCAGGACTACATTTGTAGTAAGTCTCTAAATACATTTACTCAGCTTGACAACACCTCTGTTCATATTACCACTGCTGAAATTTGAGGGCAAGGGAGGAGGGAAATGGTGACAAGTTTTATCTTGCCAATTTTAAAATGAAAATTTGTCTCCATTTTGCAGCCAGCTCCAATTTGACATTCCAGAGAGCTCAGTCCAGATTAAAGCCAAGACAAATTCTCCTTTATTCCTTGTATGAGCTCAGCTGGAATTTCTCTGGGTAACTGTCCCTGCAGAGAGGCAGTTCAGCTAGTGAACCTGTGAACCTTACCTCTCTGTTGATTGAACCTCATAAAAATATGAAAAATATAACCAGAAGCCACATAAATAAGAGAAGCTTTTAAAGATTAGACAAATATTGATTATTTGGTATTTTGGGGTAAGACTCTAAACAATAGAATTGTTTGAAAAAATGTATTTCTATTCGACATATTTTGACAGCACTTTTTCATTCCAAGATAATTTGAAAAGTGTAAATCACAAAATAGAGTAGCATATTTTTCATTATAAAGACACCTTGAAGGATAGCTGATGACCAGCCTTTTGACAATTTTTCATCTCCCACTCTTTTTTTGTTGCCAACATCACTTATTACATTCTCTTTTTCACATTCCCAAGCATAAATATGGAGATGGATTGTAACCTATACACTTGTACACCTACATTTCAGAAATGTTAGCAATACTCGGAATTAAAAATCAAATTCTAATACATTAATTTCTCATTGTTTCTACTTTTTTGTTTTTGCTCAAAGTAGTTTGACATATTAACATGAAAAAGAGAGACTGTAATATTTTTTAAAAACACATTAGTATCCTAATTTCTAACATATTCTGTGAAAGGAATAGAGAAAATTCTCTGAGAATTTTTTTGTCTTACTAGAAAGATAACATAGCTGTCAAAATTATGATAACTCTGCATTTGTTCTTGTACTTTTGACCTTAGAATATATAAATTGATATTCTATTTTGACCCTTTCTGAAAAGAGAAACCTTCTTCTCTTCATTTTTGACAGAAATCTTCCCATACTTTTGAACAGATGAAGACAAATGCAGAAGGGAAATAGGATCCATTCTAGCTAGATGAACAGATTAGACATCCATGTCAAACATTATTATAACCTATATGCTTCATAGACTGGAAGTTAAATACTGCACAGACTCAAGTCAAGCATTACAAAACCAAAACTGTTTCTCAGCCCACTTACTTCTTCCTGCATGTTCTCAATGATTCAGTAATTAACAACATACTGAGACAACATTTGAAGCACTGCAATGATGCACAAAGTGCACAAAAAAAGAATTAATATATTTATAGGCTAAAATTTGCTGCAGCCATATGAACTTTTCATAATCAGGTTCTGCGTGAGGGGAGAGGACGCTTGCAGAAGTGAAACAAGTTCAGAAGCCAGACTGCAGATCTGCTTGCTCTCTCACCCTCTCCCTGCATGCAGCAACCACATTCCCTTATCAGCTTCTTAAAGCCCTGAGATTACTGGATCCTTACAAATATAAATCCATAGCTTCATGTGCCCTTCCCTTACTCTAGCAACAAATTTAAGGAGGAGACCCTTCTGCATAGTGTTCTTGAGGTATTTTGCTATTTCAGTGGTGTTTTCTGACCTCTTTGCCCCAGGAAGATAATAAAGGCGTACAAAGTTTTGGGCCAGCCCCTTGATACCAGCAAAGGTTTTCTCACACTTACTCTCCACTGCAAGTTTGTTGTGTTTTCCACTCTCTGGAGCAGTCCTTCCCCAAGACAGCTGCTTCATTGGCCGAAGCTCAAAATGAGGGCTATTTTGAGGAGCCACAAGGATTGCATGGCTAAAATTTTACTGAGGAGGATTCAGGACGTGGCAGGACCCCTGTCCCCAGAAAAGAGGCCCATCAGCACTGGGGAAGAATGACATAGCTCTGTAGAACTTGGTATGCTGAGACCTTCTGAGCCCATGTTCAGCCTTGGGCAGAGGCTGCTGTTGGGCTCTACCTGGGAGTTCCAAGTAAGAGCAACTACACATTTCACTGAAGACCAGGGCCTCAAGTCAATAACAGGCATAGTAAGACTGGAACATTTTGGGCCCAACTGAGCAGAGCAAGAAGGTGAATGTTTAAAATTAATCAAGTTTTCTTATTCCCCAGTAGATCAGGGTTTGCAATATGTTTCTCCCTCTTTCTCTCTGCTCCTAAAGTACATGCACACATACTTTCTTCAATATCCCACCTGCATAAACAAAGTACATCATGAGTGTGTTACAAGGATAAACTCAGCAGAGTTTAAGGGGTTGTCAGACCCTGTTAATGCAAGCACTGTGAGGGAGGCTGTGTGACATGACAAACTGAACTTTTGGAGTCCCAGCATCTCAGCTCTATTCCAGCTTTACCACTAAGCCATGCCTCAGCTGCCCCACCCGTAAAAATGTGTGTAATCACACTGCCCCCTTCTCAGGACTGCTTTGATGCACGTCATTGTATAGGAAGAATGAGACATTATAAAATATAGAGTCACAGTTTCTGCTGCTTTCCCCCTGTATTTTCACTGAGGAAAGCAGGAATTCTGTTCAAATTTTTCAAAAGAGTGGATGCTTACAAGTCTGGTACTGATAAAATATGGCCTGCTGGCTTAGCAAAACCACAGGACAAAATGAAAAATCTGCTCATTTCGTTTCCTGAGAACAAACACACAAAATGAATGTCACACATTTCAATAGCAATTGGTGTCTATGTAGTTCAGAGAAAAACTTCTGGTCCAAGGAGACAACAGATTTTATTATACAAATTAGGAACAGCAATTGCCTGCCAAGACAAAGGAGCACTGATCAGAACACGACACACAAAGAAGGAAGAAAGGAACTCTGATTTAACCTGCAGAATACTAAAATTATTTCTGGTCATCTTGTGCTGTTGGGGAGCTTAGCCGAAATCCTCTCTGTTTGCATGGCTCAAGGAGTACACATGATGAGATCCCCCATCAGCTCTGCAGTGACAGTGCTGGGGAAGCCATGTCCACCTGTTCTGGGAAGGAGTGGCCATCATACCTCAGCAGCAGCAGCCCCTTGGCTGTCCTCCCTCCCCAAAACTGCCCTGGTCCCATTTTTGTGGGATACCTCTAAACATTCAATAAAAGCTGTTTGCTGTCCAATCTGTAATTTTTTTTATGTTATCAGTATTGCAGAAAGAAAAGGTCAGATTATCTGTAAGAAGGTGACCAGCAGCAGGAGAAGCTGCCCTGCATGGAGCCTTGGCTCCAGAGGAAAGAATCCAGTTGGGAATGAGGTCAGCAGAGGTGAAACTTGTTAAATCTCCTATCTTGCTAAATCTTTGATCCACCCTTCTTGGTCTAACCACTGCCCAGTCCTCTGTGCTAGACTGGGAAAGGCAATGCCTTAAAGGAACTGAAGTGAATGGGAGACAGGAAGCACAGGAAGTCGCGATGGCACAGGAAAATATTAGGAGTGCTGGAAGAGGGCCTGCCCCGTTGCAGCATCCCGGGCTATTTAAAAACTTGCTAAGTTGTCGTATATCTGTACCAATTTTTACCTCAGTCAGCAACACCTGAAAACAGAAAAGGGCTTAGTGAGTATGTTTGGCCCAAGTAACTCCACCAGCTCCTCCCTGCTCCCCATGTACCTGGACAAAAAATGTTCACCCGGAGTCTTCGCTGACATATGCTTTTACAGGTTTGAACACTCAGCACTGCTCCGGTCCAAAGAAAGGTAAAAGGAAGCTATAATTCTACTTTGCCTCACTCCACTGCAAATCTAAAGTAGAACCATTTGCCTAATTAAGTTTAAATAATGCACATTTTTTAACATTAAAATATAATCACCTCTGTTTTGAATAATATGGAGCATTCATTAGGTTAGTCTGGCTTTCAGGTGTTTGCTCTGCTACCTTGTTCAAACCTGATCCATCAAGACCACATGTGAGTGGTATTTGGGAGCTCAGCTCCCCCAGTTCATGTGGATCCTTTTTACGATGCGTCATGTCCTTTCTGGCACCTGAGCAGGGAGCCCATCCACACACCACCTCAGCTCCTGTCACAGGATGCCAGGTCCTGCATGGGTAAGTATATAGTAACACAAAATGTCACCATAGCACACACCTCTGGTTTTAAAGGCAAGAAAATTTTCCACTTAATTCTTTGCAGGAAAAAGGTGGGGAGCAAGACAGGGTGCTAATGAGCCAGCATGAAATCCATTTCTCCCTCTCATATACAGATAAATGTTACTTTTTAACGACAACATGGTTTAGCCATTTTGCAGCCTTTGCTTGAAAACTAAATTCCTCTTCTCTCATGGTCATATAGGTATGCCTTGTTTTGCAATGGACCTTTTCCTAACAGGCTTGATGTCTTCAGAAAATTTAGCTCACCATTTTGGTGAAACACATTTGGAAGGAATTTCCTTCTGTTTCTTAACACTGAGCAACAGAGCCTCTAAAATGCTTATAGAGAGCACATTTTCCTGGGGCTGCAGGGAATGAGTCACTCCAGATAGACGTCAGATCAAATACAGCAAGTAATCAGTGAGCTGGCACCGATTGGCCTAAGAAAATAGCATTTCACTTGTCAGTCTCCCTGTACCTACCTGCAACAATAATTTTCAGGGTGCTATTCAGCAAGGGGATAGACCGTCCCCTGCTGTGTTCCTGCTTCAAAGTTGTACAAATTAGCAGGAAATAGATTGATGCGCATTGAGAGAGGCTCTTCTGGGCTTTCTCCCACACAGCACTGAGCTCTCTGGCTCAAGGCCATGCTGTGGCTTAAAGCGCCAATGCTCCACTGGCCTGTGTGGGTACCAGTGGGAGTCAGTGCCTCGGAATGTTGGGCCTCAAGGACTCATCTTTTAAACACCATTTTAAAAAGCATTTAGGCACCTAACTATATTCTGCAGATTTAATTACTGTATAAATCACATCGGTGCAGTAACCCCAGAGTGATGGGATGGGAAAGAATGTCCCTCAGCTCCAAAACAGAGCAAAGTCATTTACTTCTGCATTTTGCTTGCAGTTGCTTGAAAGGGCGAGACATGAACTCTCATAAGTGGTGTTCCCTTGGTGCCCAGCTCTGCCATCCACACGTGACAGGTCACAGTGAAGTTTAGGGAAGTAACTTGACGACTCTGCTCCAATGTCCCCATCTGCAAAAAGGGGTTGTTCAAAGGTTCTGCTGGTCCATTAAAAGTGTGTGCAGCTCTGAGTGAAGAAAGTGATGATGAAGAGCAAAACTGCATATGTTGAAGTTCGGGTTTCACTATTTCTGTACTTTTAACAGAATTAATTTTTGTATTTTATTTTGCCAATTCTGCACATCCCAAAACTGCTGGCCACTAATGGCTAAATGCTACTTGGGGAGAAGAGGATAAACTGTGAATGAAGTTGTTTGTGCTTTGTTCCCAACTGAAGGAGCAGTATAACTCAAAAAAGACCTTACTAAGAAATGAAATCATTTTCTCAACCTTCTCTGTGAGCCATACTGAAGCATGGCAATTTTCCTTTCTGGTCAATAGTTATGGAACTTTCATGTGTTTTGGTTCATATTTATAATCTGAAACAGAGATAGAATATAAATATAAAAATAATTTTGTTCTAATTAAAAAAAATGCAGAAATAATTTTTTTTATCTTTAAATTACCTGCATTAAAGTTACCTCAAGATCCATTGCAAAGGTTTAGTAATTATTAGCTTAATTATTAACATCTTTCAGCAAGCTAATTAGCTGGGCACCAAATGAAAACCATCTTTGCCTGAGGTCTAGAGAGGCTAAACCAGAAGATTATTTTAATATTTCAGGTTAAATATTCAAGGTAGAAGAATTTCTGCTTCTGGAATCATGAGCTATTTCATTGCTCAAAAAGAATTTAGAAAAGACAAAATAAAAATCAAACAAAAATGATGAAAATTGGCCCACACCCTAACTTTAGGCACTGCTAAAAGATGGATATATCACCTTCCCCTCTCAATGATGGTGGCTATGCTTGTTGATTTTCCAGCTAAAGGCCTCACCAGCACAAACATGTTATGTCACTGTCTGAATGGACAGACCATCACTAGAGGGGACAAATCATCCAGATTTCTTATCATTGCACCTTCACCAGTGATATACTGAACCCCATGACTCCCTCTGGAACAGAGGACACAGTATCCTGCAGGATGAAACTGCTGGGGATTCATCTGTAACCATCAGCAGGGATTAGATGAACTGGGCTGTGGTGGAGCAGCCTTTGGAGTTTGTGGGCTGCTTTGCCCTGGGTAGGAGGGACACCTCACAGCAGACAGACAATGCCACATGTAAAAGAGACCATGCGTAACTCCTCAGACCAGCCAAGACCCTTGGTCAGTGAGGCACAGAAGTGTCCATCCTTCCAGGTCCCACTACACCCTCCTCTCCCACGTCAGGACTCCAAATGTCACACATTGCCCTACTTTATCTATCTGACCCCTTCAGCCATGTCCTGCATGAGGGGTCAGCTGTAGTGCAGCAAGACTGTCTCCCACTCTCTCCATTGCCATGGGGAGTGAAAGAGCCACAACCCACACACATCCTGCAGACCCAGCTCATCCCTGTCTCACTCATTGCAAAATACAGTATGAGAATGTTTGCTCAGTGGTACTGGGAGAAGAACCCTGTCAGGGTCACAGGCATAGCCTTGGGAAAAGCAAAGAGGCACAAGCTTTTATCTTTCAAAACCCTACATATTACCCCTCTTGCTACAGGAAATTCAGATGCTTGCCCAGAGGTCTCATATTCTCATTTTGTTAAAATTAGGAAAGCACATGTTATTTAATTCTTGTTTTACATGCATGCCTGAGCAGCCCAGAAAGGCTCTGCCTCACTGCTGCAGCAGCCAGCCTTGCAGGGTGGTGGCTGTCCTGCAATAGCAGGGGACATCAACAGGGCAAGCCTGGGCCACGTAGCCTCATCCATCACCATTGCAGGCAGCAGTCACAGTCATTTGTCTCAGAAACGTACCTAACACCATCCCTCAAACATGATGGCACAGACACTGTTCTGTGCCTGCTCAGTGGGAGGCCAACAGAGAACCCTCTCATGTTTATCCAGCACAAAAGTCTTTTCAAGGGTGTTGTTTTCCCTGTTGTGCTATGAAAGATAACAGCTTCATATAAAAACAAACAGGTTTGCAAACTCTTCCTGGGTGCTAACATCATACTGATGTAATATACCTGGGGTTTGATGCAATGTAGCTTTTTAGCAAATAGACACTCTCTGCTCATACCTCCCTTGATACAAATTCTTTTTCATGGAAACAGCTAAACTGATTTTCTTCTTTTTAACAACTCAAATTAACTAAGTTTAAAAATGACCCTCTAATCAAAAATTAAAGCATCAAAATATTTAATTGAAATATAGGAAGAAATCCCTTCCTTGCCAGCTGTTACTGATGGAAATGAGTCAAAAACTACAAATGGGCTTAAGGAAAGATGATGATAATTTTATAAAACAACACATGTACTAAGGTAATAGGAGAGGCATGCAACATAAATTAAAGCAACCGGAGAGTATTCCCCCATTCTCCTCCTCGGTGTTGAATGTGGACAGAAACAAGTTTTTGGGGCCAAGGAATGAGAAAGCAAGAGGATTCAGACAGCAACCCCACCACACCCTCTGCCCTCCTTCAGTCCTGACTCTCACATGCCCGCTCTCAGCAACCTGCTCAAGCTCCCAGCACAGCTCCTGCTGAGTACCATTGCCAAAGCTGTGCTGGGAGAATAGGAGTGGCTTAGCTGCAGTTTGTGTTGTGGCTGCCCATGCTGGGACAAGATAAGTGGTTTGTCGAGGGGATGTTTCCCCTCCCTTTTAGGCTCTGACCATGTATCAGAGTGTCAGGACTTCAAAAGCTGTTAGTTCACCACAATGAGATACTCACCCTGAGCATGATTAATCAAAGTGATTGGAGCAAAGTAGTAGCCAAATGCCCACATTAAAAATTAGGAAGCAGGAGAGAGTCTGTGCAGAGATCAGATCTCTGACCTGTTTTAAACCCTACAGTTGGGCTTTTTTTTCAAAACAGTCCTGCAGTCCAATCCCCACGGTGAGTCTCACAGACTCTCTGGCCTGATTATTGCCCATTCAAACTGAAAAGACTGACCGAGTACTCTGGATATTCAGTTTTACTTGCAGCATGATAGCGCTTTATCCACGGAGCTCAGCTATCCCGTTTCCAAGTATCTCTCATAGAATTACAACAGTATTCAAATAGGTCTATGCAAGACTGCAATTGTTATAAGTTTATAATTTTAAATCAAAAGATTAGTCCCTTTTTTCTCAGAGTCAAAACTCAATTATGATTAGGTACAACAAATGTCCAGATAAAATGCTGAGTAAAATTTGGGATATTAGTTGATCAAATAATGTTCCTTTCAGTCTGCAATCTTTATAAATAAAGTTCATAAATAAAAAAAAAACCAGTTAGGCTCACCTTTAAACAAACATGAAAATAAAAGAAAATGGTGTGGCTTCCTATATACAGCTTTTACTGACAGCACGTGAGCATTTTCCCCATATTTCCTTAAGAGAAACAATGTACATTTTAAATGGAAGGAAAAATTATTTTTAGTTGGATTTGTGACATGCAAGGGAGACTCTTCGTCATAAGAATAACAAGTTTAGGAAGCCTCATTTACATCTGAAATGCTTCAGGATCCTTTGTGATCCAACAGTGATGATCAAATCAAACCCTATGAAGAGATAAATTGCGTGCAACTTACAAACATTATGCCCACAACTGGGTGTTTGGATTCCTTCTGAGCTATGTGCGTTTTAGCAAGACCATCTGGACGTTGCCAAACTGATTCTGAAGAGAGAAATATGTAGCAATAAAGCAGAGACTTATAAATAGTAACTTGCCTGCTATCCAAGCTGCATGTTAGGGCTCCCTTGTTTGCTGCACTCCTGTTTCAGAGCATACAGTGTAAGAATTAGTCAGGCTGTATCTGTACACCCAGCAAAACAAGGGTTGGTAGGTCAGATGTGGAACCAGAGCTGGGAGTGGTGCAGTGTGGAGGAGTAGGGATAGTGATCCTAGGGTTTTGCTTTGGGAGCAGAGGGAAGGGTTGTGGACAGTGTTATCTGAGAGCTGAGGAGGAGGAGGGAGTGCAGGAGGCCAACGTTGCCCAGATTTCTCACACATCTGGTGCCTCTCAGTCACATGCACAGTTTTATAAGTGGCAAGATAAGGCAATAGCACTTGGCCATCCCTAAAACCCCAGAGGATTAGCAGTGTAAGAGGAATTTAATCTCTTGATGGGTCTAAGCAACATTTCAGTTTATGCCATTCGGAGGGTTCTTAATGTTGTTGGCAGCCCAGCAGTGGTGAGAGGCCCCAGTGAGCTTCCCAGATGGGGAGTGTCTCTGATATACCAGAGGGATTAACTTTGGCTCCAAAGACCTTCCAAGCTAATGGATAGGAGGGTTATGCAGCAGAGCAGTGTCTGGCACAATACCATCTTGCTTGACCCTAGAGCAGTCCCTACTTGACTACCCACTTCTCTCATGAGTAATCACACCTGTGCTTGACTAGGAGCTCTCTTCAGTAATTTGAACAATATTAGTCTCCACCATTCACACAGGCTTAGGAAAAGAATACTTAGAAGCATTAAATCTCAATCATCTTCTTCATCCAAAGACAATGGACATTGGTAAAGCTTTGATAATTAAATATCTTTGATCTATCTGTGACATCTGCCTTCTATTTCATAAGCCTTTGGTATGCCAGCAGATAGACTACTAATTGTATGTATACATGTATATATGGACATTCATACATACACATATATGCACACACTAAAGCTCCTTTGTCTTTCAGTGTCTTACAGGAAAGAAAAAGCACCTGACTACTATGTGTATCATACTGCTTATCTGGTCCTGAATTCAAAATTAATGAGGAAACACTTTATTGCTGTCACTGGTCATTGAGCCATCAAATCTGCATACACACAACCTGGAACTCTTTCCCACTAAGTGCAAAGGAGGAGTCAGTAACTACTAAGCAGAACTAGCTGTCTTCAAGGGTCCTGTGGGCCCATTTAACCCTATGGACCAGAACTCCTACAGCACTCTTGGAGTACTTTGCTGTTACTGTATGACAAGTGTACTGAGTAACCACAGAGTAAAGATTGTAAGACAGCTGTTGAGTGGACTGAAAAACTATCTTGATCTACAGGTAAACAAGGGAATTTCTACTTGGGTCATATCTCACTCCGATTTTTTTCTGTTGAGCTTAATCTATAGGAGTCAGTGGAAACAGGAAATTTTCAGCAAAGCAATTTGAAGTTTCTCACAAAGGGACAGGGAAAAGGAGAAGCATTAAGTTTCTTTCTCCTGACTTAAGGTCTAAAGGTGTCCTAACTGAAGTAAATAACTATTCCACTTATTTTAGGAGCAGAACCATTCTCATGCATTGAAATCACAAAAAACCCAAAGTGCCTCAGTTATCAAGTATATTCCCACCGTGTAGAGCATTCTAGTAGCATAACAGACTATCGAGTGGATAGAAGTGTAATTGATTCTGTTTGCATGCACAAATGACTCCTCATCATCAGAGATATGTAACATTTCTCATGGCTAGGCTTCACGAACAAAGATTTGGGAAGGGCTCTACCCACATTTGTTACAAGCACGTTGGTGGCTAAAAAGGCCAATATGAGACAGGCATGTCCGGTTGCAAAAGGCACAGCAGAAAGACTCCTTAGGTGGAATATTCTGCAAGGCACGATTCTTTCTGCATTGTCTTTTCTCCTCAAGGGTGATCCTGCGTGCATTCTCAAAGGCATCAGCAGCGTTATAGATGGCGTGTCTCCAGACCTCCTGATTGGAGGCCAGAGTAGACTAGTTATGTTGATCAATATGGCCAAGGCTGAGATGTTGTTTCAAGGAGTCCTTGTATCTTCTCTTCGGGGCTCCCCTCTTTCGGCAGCTGGTGGCAAGTTCACCATAAAGCAAGATCTTAGGGAGACAGTGGTCCTTCATGCTTGAGATGTGTCCTGCCCGGAGCAGTGTTCTCAGCAACATGGCCTCAATACTTGTGATTGCTGCTTGTTCTAGAAGAGATGTATTGGTCACATAATCTGACCAGTGGATGTTTAGGATTGTACAGAGACAGCGTTGATGGAAGCGTTCTAGGAGTCGCAGGTGGTGGCAGTAGATGACCCATGATTCAGACCCATATAAGAGAGTAGACAGCACTATGGCTCTGTAAACACTGATCTTTGTACTTTTCTTCAAGTGGAGTCATGGGGGTCTTAGCCGGGCTGGGGCCTTGAAAGGTACCCGAACCCTGGGTGGGTCCAGGGGCCAGAACAGTTTGGTTGGTTGGTTTTGGCTCACCTGCGGCTACTGCCCAGGTTCAGTATGTTCTGGATATATTTGTTGCATCCTGAAAGGGTGGTCAGGACAAAGGGTTGTTCCCGGGTATTTCCTTGGTATTGAGATAGGTGGCAGAAAAGAAGGAAGTGAAAGACTTGCCCTAATCGTTTTAATGGGAATGAAGCCTGTGTACCCCTATGCAGTTGCGAGCTATGCTGGCGATGGTATGCAACATTTAATGGAGAAAGAAACCCAAGATATCCAAAAAAGCAGTTGCCTCTTTGGATACTTGACAGCAGGGAGAGAACAAAAAGGATGACAAAGCAAACTCCTTAGTCAAGATTTTAATAAATATTGCACAAATTAATTAGAAATTCCAAGCACTCGTACAAGAAAAAAGTTGTTCCCCCTTGATTAAACATACATTACTGCTGGAGGTGTCTGAGGGGTCTTTCTGTCATAGTACTTGAATCCAGTGTTTGATCTTCCTCCCTGAATTTAAACTCACATGCTGACAATTCCTTGCCTTTTCAATTTATAAGTGTGTCTCTTGTTCTCCTTTTTAAAGAAAAGGTCAGTGCTTTTCACTTAAGTAATGTCATTAAGAAATCAAACCTCATTTTTTCGGCTTGTGTAGCTGAGCAACTGAAAGGCACAACCTCCATTTACCTCACTCCCACATTTTGAACACAAGGAAAAAAAATATGAATGCAGATAATCACAGGCAATGAAGAGTAATTTCTAGTAGTCTGTGTCCAGGATTGTTCCAACTTTTTTCCGATCATTTTAAATTCCTCATTTAATAAGCTAACTGTTCCTTCTTTTCCTAGGGGAGACTGTTTTGCAGTGCAAGATGTTCATGTTATGAGGGTCTCTCTGTTTAACTTATCCCATTATTCCTAGTTATGTATTCTAATATCAATCTACCTGACTACCTTTGCAGCATCCTGCAGCCTGTTTCTTTGTGTTTCTGTCAATACAATAAACTGATTTTGCACCAAACAAAGAACTATAATTGTTATTAGTTTCCCCACCTCTCTACCTATTCCATCCAGGAGGTTTTATTTAACGTCATGTACAGTACCAGCTTATTCTCATGATAAAAATGTGGCTGGTTTTTTTAAATATATGAAGAAAATATCGTTTGCAAAATCAATGTCAGTTTAATATATTGTGCTGCTTTCTGGTTAGGATGTGACTCCTTCTCTTTAAAAAGCAAGACAGCTTTTCCCCAGTCACGAAATTAGGAAATTTTGCACCAATAAGTAATATTCAAATTGAGCAATGATTTTGAAAGAGGGAGGGCTGCTTCAGTTAAGCTTTATTGCTTTTTCTTCAGCTCAGATTTGTAGTCAGAAGCCAGGACTGAACAGAAATGTTTTTAGTTTTGATGCAATGACCTTTCGGACTGTAGATCCCTTGGAGAATTTGAAACGGAGTAAGCCTTTAGAGTATGGTTTGGGGTTAATTGTTGTTAGGTACACTTTCAGCCTGTGGTTAATGCAAGGTCCCCAAATCCTGTAATAATATTCCCTTTATGATCATGCTGATGTTCTCTTTCATGAGCAAAAACAGATTTGGACCTAGGGTATAAACTACATTGAGCCATGCCATATTCCAGCTGCTTCACACATTCTTAACTCATGTTTGATGTGAGTTTACAGGATGCTGAGGGCATTTTTTAGAAATGACCAGTCACGCCAGTTGATAGCATGACCATATCTGAGTGAAAAATTGTCTCCTCCTGGGAAATACCTTGGAATGTTTCTGTTTAGTTCAGCAAATAACATCAAAATGTACAGGAGCTGAATTTCTGTTCACTTCAGTAATGTGATATTCTACTGCTGACAGCCTCCCTGGATGGCTTGTAGTCAACTTTCCAATCCAATAAACCTACGATATGGGCATAAAAATGAAGCAGAGTCAGATAACCATAAATGAGAGAGCTCTGCCAAGGAAACTGACAAAGCACTGTGCAGGACCTAACAATATAAAATAGACTGGCAAAAGAGAAATTAAATAGACCTGAGATGTAGGAATTTTCCCAGTCAATACCTCTATCACATTTTCACTCCCTGAAAGCCTTTCTTTTTGTTCCTCAAGGCCAGAAAGACCTGCTGGAATATGAGGGAGATCGCTTGTGTGAAAGTTAATGGTCTTAATCCCATCACCTGATTCACTTGAAATTGCACCCATTGTTTGAATCATTCAAGGGCAGATTTGCAGGGCAGAACTTTGTCATCATACAAGAGGTGACAAATTTTAATGATATTCAGCAAAATATTTCCCCTCTTCTCCCATTCCTTGTGAATGCTGGCCCCACCTATGCTTCCTTGTGCTGTCTTCTCTAATTCCTTTTTGGCTGAAGTGCTGGAAAGGCTGACTGGTGCCCAAGATTTCCACTCTGCCTGAACGAAAAGTGCTTCTAGCACAGATACCTCCACCCAGACCAGCAAGCACAAAGCCCACAGGCATGTGCAGAGAAAGGTTGCTCATTCTCATCAGAGAATGGGAATAATAAGAAAAAAATGTAAGAAAAAACAAGAAAAATTAGTTCTCGTATTTTCTTCTTAGTACAAGTTCTGCATTTGAGATCTCCTGAGATACCACTACGGTGTGCTGAGGATAAATATCATGCAGATAAACTATGGCAATGGAATGATTTTTTTTTGCAATTGAATTATTTGCCTAGGCTGAAAAGAAATATGTTACCTTCTGACAAAAACTGATTAAATCCATGAAGACTTGATAAACCAGCACTGAAAAGGCTATTGTTTGACAAAGTAGCGTTCTGAAAGCAGGCAAGTATGGCATAAACACAAAACAAACTCACCTCTTCTTGAAACCAGAAATGCCATGTTTCTGTGAGGTATGTCACCCAGTCTGATTTCAGCTGGCATAAATCACTGCCATTTTACCAATAGCAAATGGAAACAATCTCAGCTACTTCTTTTCAACAGAAGTATGCCCCAACTTCACATCACATTGGATTAGATGTAGTGAAAATGCATGGATTTACCTTGAATTTTAATATAGCCTGAGAGCTACTTTTAAAGATCAGCTGGAACCCAGTTGCCCTGACTGGACTCTATAATCTCACACACAGATTCACAAGTATGGTGAGACACATACCCATATCTCTTCCCCCTATATGCACAGTCAGACATTATATTTATTTACTGTGTGTGCCACATTCACTTGAGAATTAGGACTGCAGCACAACTAAACACAATGACAAGATGTGCTGTTGTTGTTATGAGGTAAAACGTTGTTATGAGTCATCTCTGCCCGAAAACAAGCTGCTCTAGGATCCGAGTTTCTTATCAAACTGTAGTAGTGGTAAGATATCCTTTCAGATACCTACAGAGTTGAACACTGAGTGTATAATGACTACATTATATAAACAGAAGTTTCCATCAGATTTAGAGATTAGCCTTTATCGCCCATAGCTCACTACATCCAGTCTAGGCTTCCTGTAAAATGCCACCTGAGGAAAGCACCATGCAACAATCAAAATACATCCCTTCATAGTAAGAGAAATAGTAAATTAGAACAGTAAAATGCTTCACTTAATGCTGAGCTTGCATTTTTCATCTTTCTCGGTAATCTGTCCAACTCCACTTGGAGTTAAACAAAAGTAAAGGAAACCCATGCTTTCCTACGCAGTCTCTGCTGCAAACCTATCTCCT